TTAGCATAAAATGCTCATTATCTGTTCTGAATAATTCAGAAGTAAATGCTCAATAAAACATACTGAATAACTGTATCATCAAGAAATAATGCCTAACAATAATTAATTATGTTCAAATAAACATTAAGTTAAAAATCTTTGATAGAAGAAAAAAAATTTTCAAGTCTACAATCGGAAAAATTATTTTAAAAAATCAGATTTAGCATCATTTTGACATAAAGTTATTTCTACAATGCAATATTACCCCCTAAGTTTTTTTTTTTTGCATCAAATAAGTTGTAATATGTAGTAAAATAAAATCTGTATTCTCATTCTTAGGACCTTTCTGATTTTCCATAATGGCTGATATTTGAACGCTGGTTAAAACATTTTTTGACACTTTGATGACTCAACTAACTTTTTTTGTAAACAATATCCTCTCAGTTTTTTTAGACCATTTAAATAACACTGGGATACTCTTTCTAAAAAGGATAAAATACGCCACAGGCATATTTTACATTCTAAGATAAATGATTTTAAAATAGGCCCCAAATTCAAAAATGTGCGATTTCAGCTTATAATTTTTAGACAAAGGAAGGGTTGTCCTCAGTTTTTTATAGTAAATACGTCGTTTTATTTCAGAGGTTGTATTAAAATACTTCTAATTGTGTTCGTATTTTGTTGGCAACACGTAACAACTTCAAGAAAATGTTTTAGTTCACTCATTTAACTTAAAATAAGTTTTAAAAATGACAAAAGCGGAAGAAGTTAGAAAAAATATTTTCCACAAATATTATGGAAAATCTGAATAGAAGCTACAATTCAGTTACAAAAAAGTTGCAAATACATCCCTACACCGTTAGTCACATTATTTAATGTTTTCTCAAATAAATCTGGTAATGGAGGAAAGAAGGTTTTTCAAGATATAAAACTGGTTAGAAAACTGGTTAACAGTTTTATGAATAATCAAAGCTACTAACTATGGGAACGAGCAAAAAAATTAGGATTTTTTTAACAGTTTTGTTGTAAAAGTTAAAAAGAAACATATTTCTGAGTCTTCACTTTCTGGTAAAATATATGTTAAAGAGTGTTTAATACGTCTTTTGCCTCTTACTAAATCACATTATAGTAGAAATGTGTTCTGGCCTAATTTATCATCAATTTATTATAGCAAACTGGCTTAGGATGATATAAACAAAATGACGTAAAAGTTGTATTAAAAATAGCAAATCCTCCAAACTGTCTATATTTCAAAATTATTGCCAATTACTTTGGGTAATTATTAAACGAAAAAAGAAAAAAAAAAGATAAAAGCTATAAAGAAATGTTAAAGGTTTAAAAATGTCATTTAAAAAACATTAAATAGTTTTGAGTATTGTTCTGTGTGTAAATTTATGGGTACCACCAAAGCAAAAGTTCAAAATTCTATTAGATGCCCACAGGAAAAAAATAATTTCTTTGAAATATTTTATCTTCTTATATTAATGTATTGAAATTAATACTTTGTTCTAAATAAAAGTTGATGAGTACATTTTTATAGTTGTTTTTCTACTTTCACACTTATTTTGCGTACACGCTTTAACATTTAAATATCTTGTTTGGGCATAATATGCTGACAAAACCATGCTATTTCCAAATAAAAAAAGTTCGAATAATTTGTAAATCACTTTGACTACACCGAGTACAATCCATCTTAAAAATTTATTTAAAAATTTATTAAAGATTTATTGTAATTCTGAGCCAGTATCAAAATTGTTTTTTTTTTAGGTTTTAGTTATAAATATAAAATATAAAAAAGTATATTCTAAAAACAAAAGTTTTTAAAATTTAATTATCGAAGAACTTTTTTAATGATTTTTTTTTGGACTTGACTCTTAACTGATTTATGGATTTTAAATGAATTTTTATTTGAGTTTTGGATTCTAAGTTAACTTTTAACTGAGTATTAGATTCGAAGTTAACTTTTTAAGTTAAAGTGTTTTTAATAAACACTTTTGTGATGATCCGTAGTAATTGCATGACTTGAACTTTTTGGATTGTACAGTTAATTAGAAAAAAATTTGAAAAAAAACTGATAAAAGGACATGACCATTATTTATATGTTGATGTTTTTTTCTGAGACTACTAAGGTAAATCTCATTTTACTGTAATTTTTTTTCCTGCTTTATTAAAATTTCTATTGAGCTTAGTAAATATATATTTAAAACCATTCAACCACAAAGCATATTTTGTATTCGAAATATTGATCTTGGATTTTAATGCGATGATGCAATAAAATTATTTACAAATTACAATTATCAATGGAAGCAATAGGTAGAATCATTTTATTTTGTAGCCAGTGTTTTTTTTTTTATCGAAAAATTTGCCATATATTCTGTCATTATCTTATCATGTTACCTTTCATGTCATTTTCATGTTACCACCCATGTCATACATTTTCATATGTTACCTTCCATGTCATACATTTTCATGTTACCTTCCATGTCATACATTTTCATGTTACCTTCCATGTCATACATTTTCATGTTACCTTCCATGTCAAACATTTTCATATGTTACCTTCCATGTCATACATTTTCATGTTACCTTCCATGTCATACATTTTCATGTTACCTTCCATGTCATACATTTTCATGTTACCTTCCATGTCAAACATTTTCATGTTACCTTCCGTGTCATACATTTTCATATGTTACAAAAACTTTTTTTATTCAGCTAGTTTTTGTTATACATTTTCATGTTACCTTTCATGTTACCTTCCATGTTATACATTTTCATGTTACCTTTCCTGTCATATATTTTTATATTTTGCCTTCCATGTCCTTTTTTTTTAGTTGTGTTTTACTCCCAACAAGGCCTCAAGCAACCACTATTAAGTACTAGAAAAAAAAAAAGAGTTATAGAGCAAGGAAACGGTTGACAGTAGACTTAAAAAGTTGAAGGTTGTATGAGTCAGGAAAACATGAAGATGGGAGAGAGTTCCAAAGGGTTAAAGTGCAGGGAAAAAAACTAGCTGAATAAAAAAAAGTTTTTGGGGCATGCAGGGACATAAACAATAAAACAATTAGACTTTGATGAATGAGAAGTCAAGCAAGAATGAGTTTTGGAGCTAAAAGTGATAGCTTCTTTGAGCAGCGACCATGGTAGTATTTGTAGAAAAAAGAAAGAGATGCAACTTTACAACGATTGGAAAGAGGCCTCATGCTTAGCAGTTATACTGGGTCTAACTATGTTTACAATTTGTTTTTGAACCTTGTCTAAATGAGAAAGAGCAGCATTAGAAGAACCAGCTAAAATATGACAACAGTATTCCATGCAGGGACAAATAAGAGATTTGTAGAGGTAGAGAATGAAATCAGGAGAGAGAAAATGACAAGCGCGATAAAAAAAAGCAACTTAGCAGATGCTGCTTTAGCAATCGATTGTATATATGGTTTCCATGAAAGGTCAGTAGTAAATGATAATTCAAGATGACATAAAGAAGAGGACTCTGTGAGAAGGTTGCCATTCATTTATATAGGAATGTTGACAGTACTGTGATAGTTGTTTGCAGTAAATAACTGAGTTTTGTTGGAGTTAAAATTTACACACCACTGTGAGCCCCAATCTGTTAAATCTGTTAAAATAACAACATTAATAAAAATTGCATATATAGAAAAAGGCGTAGTAAATATAGTTTCAGACAAAGATGCAATCATATATGCATCTTTGTCTGAAACTATATTTATGACTTCCGGAATAGCGATGCTTTTTTACAACGAATTTTATAAATAAGTTTAAAAAAAAGATAAAGAAAAAAAATAAAATAAGAAAAATAAATAAAATAAAAACATAGAGAATGAAGAAAACAAAGAAAAAAAGAAAAGAAAAAACTAAAAAAAAATTAAAAAACAAGTCAAACAAAATTAACAAAATAAAAAAGAAACGAGAAAAGAAAAAAAAAGGAAGGACAAAAAACCAAAATTCAAAAAAAAAACATTCAAAAATGGAAAGGAATTAAAATAAAATATAAAAATTGCTTCGTTTTTGAAGACAAAAAAAAGAAGATATTTTTTAAATTTTATTATTTTTGAGTGACGAAATGTGTTTGCTTGTTATGATTTACTTCTTTATTTTAATATTGCCATTTATTATGAAAACTCTATACTTTTCGTGATTAAATGATTGTGTGTGTAACACGTTTTTATTTGTAAGTATTATTGAATAATTTTTATTTTGTTTATTGTTTTTTTTAATGAAGTATTTATTTTACTTTTATTGTTTTTATTATGATTATTTATATTAAGATTATTATATTTATAAAATCATTGTTACTTTTTTTTGCAGTAATTGTTTTAGTTACATGGTAGGATGTTACATTTTGTCAGTATATAACTGTTTGTAACTTTCCTGTCTGTGCATTACATTCAATTGTTGTTTTAATATTGGTTTATTATTATATAATTTTCTTAATATTCTTATAACTTTTAATTTATCATTTTATTATTATTATTATTTGTATTATCAATCCTATTTCATGGTATTTACTTAAGATTAGTTTTAAACTAATTGTAAATGACCTCGATTGTAAGATGTTTTATCGAAAATATATTGATTGTTACAGAAGTGAGATCAGATTCAAAATTGGATGCCTTTTCTAAGGGATCGAAAAGAGAAGACTTTTTGTCAAGACAGGAGTATAAAGTTAAGTCATCAGCAAAAAGATCTACTTTAGATGTAAGGTTGTAGGGAAGATCATTAATGTAGATAAGAATAGGACCAAGGATAGAACCTTGAGGTACCCCAGAAGTTACTGGAAATAAGTATTGGCCTTCGAGAATGACTTTAATAAATCAGTTAGAAAGAAACAATTTGATAATCATATATTTTCATGTTACATTTCATGACATATTTTCATGTTACCTTCTATGTTATACATCAACATTTAAATAAAATTAGTAAAATATTTAATTTAATAAAAATAGTAAAAAAAAAAATAGTACTTTAATAAAAATAGTAAAAGAAGTTTCCATATATTTTAGACAGCGGAGTAGGAGCAGGAATAGATTCCTATTATGAGTACTGTTTAAAAGCATATATTCTTTTGGGCGATGAAACCTACTTGGATAAATTTAACAAGGTTTGTTTGAAGCATATCATAACAGTTTTACAGTATTTTATTTTGTATTTTGTGTAAAAGTTATAAATTAAATATAATATTAAATATTTAATATGAAATATTAGTAAAATGTTTAACACCATTAATATTTTGTTAATATAGTATTTTGTCACTCATAGTTACTTTTGCTTAATCAAGTAACTTGTTTACAGAAATATAAATCATTGAATATCTTATGTACATAAAAGGTATGTATGTAAGAGAATTGAAAAATTTAATTTAACCTAAACCAGTTCGTAGATTTAGATGTAACACTGTTTGGCATGGTCCATAACGGTCAGGTGAAGATTTTTAATGGGAGTTGGTAAATTCTTATATATATATATATATATATATATATATATATATATATATATATATATATATATATATATATATATATATATATATATATATATATATATATATTTATATTTATATTTATATTAATGTTTATATATATATATATATGCACACACCCCTTATTGTATATATTAACAATTATTAGAGTGCACTTAGATTGGCAATTCTGACATCATACTAAAATATGGAACTAGTTTCAGAAGCTTCAGTATATACACCAACTAATATAGGAAAAACATGCAAGCGAGTTGCTGCTACATTGACTGATGGTTCGGGTTAGTGCAGCAACATGTTTTTTTAATTATTCTCTGTTTTTTTCTGGATTTAGGTCGAGAGCATGGTAAATGTATACC